TATTTGTAATCAGTTTGTTTTTCAATATATTTTAATTTTATTTTTTATTTATGTGTGAAGGGGGGGTTGTGGAAATTTGCATCTTTTTTTGTAGATAAAATAAATAAATAAAAAAAATACATGCTTGATTTTAGGCTGTTTTTGTGTTTTTTTTTTTTTTTGGCCCTTGACTATTTTTGACAACAATTTTGTCCCACGTGACAAAAAGCTTGGACACCCTTGGTCTAATAGATTAAATGCACGCCATTGGTGTCTCAAAACAATGCAAGGCCTGTCATTTTATGGCATATAAGCACACACTAAATAATGAGCTTTGCTTCCCCTTTTTGACAGTTTGTCAAATAGATTCACATATGATCCATTGCAAATCTCCAATCAACTTGAGGTGAATTTCTCTGCATCTACAGGAATATTCGAGCACATTAAGGACCAAACTCACTCTGGTTGTAACTAAACAATGTTTATTTAAAAAAAAACAACATACAAACATTATTTATACACATCACTACTTTTCTATCACAAAACATGGTTAGATAAGATCACACTTATACAGTATTTTAGTGCCAACTGATTTCAAAACTAATCGGTTCATTCATTCATTTCAAAGTACTAATCTGTGTTTTCTGCTTCAGCTGCTCTATTAGAGATAAAAGCTAAATGTTTAAATATTACAAGAATTATGCAAATATAAAATTATGTAGAGACAAATCAATACACAATACTTCATGCGTTTGTTGAAACTAAGTGTACATCAACCTAAAGAAATTCTTTCCATCACCAGGGAAAATCACACAAAATAGAAAATGACATATTCACATAAAAACAAATGAAAATGGAAATGAACATGATTTATTATATTGCTGTAATACACACACAATAGATTTGCAGTCCAAATATGCACAAATGGTGCATATTTTTACAGTCCTAAATGCTTTAGGTCAGCAACACAACATTTCAGTTTTACTAATCAGCTACAGTTACAAACTTCTTAATTGGAAGCAGTCAGGGGGAATACAAGAGAAATGTTTCAGATGACTACGCTGGTACTGCTATGGGAGCCTCTATCCTATGAGAAAAAAAAGGTAACGTTAGAGTCCAAGCAAGAGATGCTATGATTACCACATCCAAAAACAGACAGAAACAACAAAAAAGCACCAAAGAGGAGGAAGAAATCTAAGCTGTGCAAGAACAGACGATAAAAAGCTTTGCACATCTATTTGTTGTACCCACCTGCTGCCACTTGGGGGCAGTGAAAGGTCTGTGGAACAGTTGGAGCTGAATCTTGCTAATGTGCTAATTTTCTATAATTCCCATTATAAAGGGATAAGAAAAGGTTTGAGATGATGCGCTTATACTATCACTTGAAGCAATGGGAAGAGCTGCAACAAAGCCACAGTCTGCTACTCTACAAGAGTAAAGGAGCATCTGAGTGAATCCCCACAAAGAACACACTGATTCTTTTTGCTACAGTGACACAAGATTTGTAACAGCCAGTTTTTAAAGAATCATTGTTTCTGATATTTCCAGCTGAAAAATGATAAGATGAAGGACATATTACCTTTTTTTTTTTAAATATATGTATCTTTCAGTTTCCCTGCAGCAAATACTCTCAAGATCTGGCAAAACATACTGTATATGTTAATATTATGTGCATGTAATATTGGTACATTTCTGTTTTTATCATTGACTTATTTGCATATTGCTATATAATCAATATGTTTCTTGCTCACACTTATGAGAGAGGATATTGCCACTGCAGGTTCTAAAGGTCATCATACTTTGAAGCAGGTTTCAAAGTACAACGAAAGACGCATTTCCTCAAAGTGGAACTAAGCTGAGTATTAAATAGATCTTTATGCTTGTAGTTCTGGTTGTTTATGACTCTGCTATAAAATGCCAGATTTTTTCAAAACCACAGCACACACAGGTTAAAGAAGCAAGAAAGAGGCAAAGGCTGAAAACTGAAGGTGGTAGTAGAACACGATGACAAAACAGGTTAAATTTTAACACACTGCTGGTTCGGTGTCAGCAGTAGGGGAAGCTCTTACAGAAAGATGGCTGTAGTTCCTGCGACCAGGCTGCACCTCACTGGCGAAGTAGCTGGGTGGTTTCTCGGGCCAATCCTTTACTTTGCGTCCTTTTTTCTGACTGCTGCCCTCATCTGAGCTCCAGGATCCTTTGTGGTGCGTGGGAGGGGAGTAGCTCCTCTCCCTCCTTGCCGATCTGCTTTGAAGCTCCTCCATCAAGTCGTCGCGGCTTCGGGCACGCGGCCTGGACCCTCGCTCTCTCCTCCTGGACGAACTGCCCCTCTCGTTCCTTGAACTCCCGTGCGTTGCTCTTCCTCGCCGGTTGTCCCAGTCCGAATCGTCGCTGTACTCGCGCACTATCCCCTGTCTTGGCAGAAGGTCCTCTCTGGTTCTGTACCCACGGCTGTCTCCCCGTTGGCCCCCTCCTGATCGGTTAGTACTCCCGCTAGACTGACTGGACATTCTCGGATAGCCCCTGGCCCCGTCTCCAGCAGGGTCCCTGCGGGAGGAAAAGCTGGGAACTCGCTGGATGATAGGAGGCAGGGTGATCACCCTTCTTTCCACCCCTCTCACCCTCATATCATCCAGCGCCGACAACATGCTCGGCGGACCGGGGGCGTAGGGCACAGCTGGAGGAGAGGGTTGGGGCTGCAATGGGGGCATGTTTCGGACAGCATGTGGTGCCATTTGAGGGGGTCCCACATCCAGCACTCTCACCTGGTTTTCCAGGTAGTCCAGCATTGGGTTGCCACTATTATTACTGCTTCGCATGCTGCCATTAACCATGTATTGAGAATGCAAAGGGGGCTGCTGCTGCTGCTGTGGGGCCATGGGTCCCAAAGGGATGGGAGTCATGGAGATGTTTTGTTTGGCTGGGTAATCTGACACTGAGGCTGGAAAAAAGAAAAAAAAAAATCAGATAAAGACAAAATAAAAACTTCGAATTTACAAAAAAAGATGCTAAATGTACTAAAGCACAACATGAATATGAATATGTATCAGGCTTGTTAGAAGTCTTTACAAGTGGAAGAACTGGTTTTCTTGTACTTTGGTTTTCAAACCAAATAAGCACACCCTGAGAAAAGAAACAAATCATTCACCAAATAAACCTTTCCATGCTTTTGTTTGACTGATATTCACCCGAGTAGAGCAGGGGAACACCCTGGGAGGAGGTGTTGCTGACGTTTGCGTAAACAGGCTGACCGTACATCCAGGGAGCCATGGCTTTCTGAGCTTGTTTCAGCATCCGATGCTGCATCACAGCTGCAATCACAGCAAAAGACCAAAAACGCTTCAGCGGTGCAAAGCATCACCGAGTTGGTTCATTTAATCAGAATCTGCAAGTTAATAATAATTTCCAATATTTTTGAACCTGAAAGTACATCCTAAGCAAGATAAAGAGCATACGTTTAAATCACAAAGTTTTAACACTGAGGTGCAGCTCTTTGCTGCATTAACTTTTTTTTTTTCTTTTTTTTAGAATTTTGTTTTCCAAATCACAGTCTGAAGAAGAGCTTCTGCCACCAAAACCTCCCTCTGCCTCCATGACATGAAGAAAGCTTTAGTACCTTTTTCAGGGCAACAGCAGGTCTGTGGACAGCAGGGGCAGCGGACATAGCAGCAGCATTTTTGCGGGCAGCACTGACAGCAGCATATGCAGAAGAGCATGATGAGCAGCAGAGCGCCAATGATAATAAACAGGACAGTCAGCCAGTCTGAAACAAGAAAATCATTTTTATTACAGAGTACGTTTGCGGGCTTTGTTCTCTGTGAATGTTTAAAAGCAGCTGCAGAAGCTGAAGAAACCTACGGTACACGATGAGTCTGACTTCTCGATCCGAGTCGCCTGTGGTGTCACCAGGAGCATCGATGCTGCAGTAATACATGCCGTTATCCCACCACATCACCTCATTTATCACCAAGTCAGCCTCTGTTGAGAGAAAGTTTTGTTTAAATCCCCCTGCATTGGGTACCAATTAAGATATGCTCTCTCTAAAAAAAAAAAAAAGCTAGAGAATACAATCCTTCAACACTAATGTTCCGGTGAACTGCTAGGTAACCACTCCCTTCTGTCACTCCCCTGCACCTTTCTGCAGCTCCCCTCTGCCTGTTAGTGAGGAGAACCAGGTGGACTCAATCTTCAATCTCCTAGCAATCAGAGTGCAGCTACTTTAGTGTGACTGACCTGTCAGTCCTGGTTTGAGAGCATGAGATGCAAACAGTGCTGGCGCATTTGACTCAGAACTGTGTAAAAGTTTCAACAAGCTGTGAAAGACAGCCGGTAAGGCTCAATGCTGCTGCTCACTGCTGAATTGTTTGTTGTATTATTGGTGTTATACTGTTTAGTCTTATTGAGGTAAAGTTGGTGGATTGAAAAGAAAAAAAGAATTACACTTGGTGTTTATTGGTTAAAGTAGAAAGAAAAGGAAATGTCAGTTGGAATGTCTGTGAGGGAATTTAACAAATTTTGATAAAAATGAAATGCCAATTTATGTATTGCTGTCGAATCAACAAAAAAAAATATATTTATTCTTTTAAAAAAAAAAAGTTATTTACTTTATTAATGTCAGAATGTAATAGATGTCTTTCTGTTTCTTTTTGAGGTTTTTCACCTATTGAGATGAGCTATGTGGGCCATCATGTAAAAAATAAAGATGAGTCAACGAAATTAAAGTCTCTCTGAGTGGGATCAAGCTGAAAGTTCACAGTGGAAACGATCTTTTTCAAGTTGGGATCACACAGTTAATCAAACCAGAAAGAACTTGACAACTAAAGCAATAGCCAGGAACAAAAAAGGACAGTATGCATGCTAACCATCCCAGGACGACACATTCAGGCGAAGAAGCAACAAAGAAATCATACTGGGATCAAACTTACTGTTTTGGATTGTGATTTTACGATTTCTGTACTCTGACCCCAGCGTTGGCTCATTGATGCCCCTCTTCTGGATGACGGTCCGAACTGTGCGCTGGCTGTCTGGGCAGTCATTGGCAGGATCCTGACCGATCTGGAGAGCCGCCTGATAAGCTTCAAAAACAAAGGAAAGCAGAGCATCAAGGTTTACTGCCTAATAAAGCAGCCAAGATGTCTTTTTTTTCCTGCAGTGTTGCAGTATTAGTTTGTGCAATATATGTTGTAGTTGTAATATTAAGGAGAGAAAAAACATATGAAATAAGCAAATTCAACAACAAAACTTGTTAACGGAGGTCCATCAATCATAAACAGTACCTGGGAACATTACTTTTTTTGATCAGCATGTAGGAGAACTAATGGTGTAACGATACATGTATTCATACCAAACCCTCTCTGTTCAGTGCATTCATAAAACCAACAAATAAAGCTTTGTTTCACACCTGAACACATTGGCATGTGGAACTTAGTATGCAGCGCAACATTTTGAAAAAGTGAACAAAAACTAAACAGAAAACTCCCAGCTGTCACTAAACTCTGCTATTTGGGAACTTTAAGGCTTCTTCACACAATTATGCTTAAGGGGGAAAAAAGAAGATGGACAGGACCGAAGCTTTATGTCAGAGTCCAGATTTTTCAACAACAATAAGGCATAAAGCTTGCCCTGAACTGAACTGCTTACATAAACAAAGTCAAGACAATGTTAACTATTCCTGGTTCTGTGGAAAAATCAGGTTAAGTCCAAATGCAGCTGCTTGTAGCGTTCAACCAGTCCAAAATGCTAAATTCACCTGTGGAGTAGTACTCCAGAACTGGGTCTTTACAGAACGACTTGAATCTCCACGTGACGAGGACCTCCTGGGGGTTGGCTGATGTTGTGTATTCGCAGCGGATCGTCACCGAAGCAAACAGCATCGTTGTTCTCTCAACCTCTGGAACAACCACCTGAATGGACAGCAGCTCTGGTACAAAGAAGCAGAACAACGACAAGAGTCGCGTTATTTAAGTGACAGCAGCATAGCTCTGTGGTTGAATGCAGGAATCTGACCAGACTGGTTAACAGTTTACTACAAGTAGACTGTGTCATGACCTGTAACCACAGTTATCAGTCATGAACTGCAAACTGTATGTCCTCATGGCAGGAAGCCATTGCTAATGAATAAAATTATGATCTACGATAACTGGAAAATGTAAACACTTTGTACCTCTGACTGCTGTCTGATATTTACGAGCTTTTGCTTCTCATAATTTAACAATATCTGAAATCCTTAAACTTTGACGATCAGTTACAGGATTAATGTATTATTTACTTAATATATAAAAATGCATATGAAAAAAAAAACACAGGATTGCTTGAGCTTTACCCAATTTCACAAACATTTGTGCACTCTATCCACATATGAACAATATTATGTTGATCATCTTTAGTCTAACAGTATTTAATTTTACAGTTAAAATACAAACATAGAGAGAAATCTCGATAGCAAGGCTCTCCAAAAATGACAATGACCTCTGTAACAACCGTTAATACATACTACAAAAACATATAAAATCAAAATCAAAGTTTATTTGTGTAGCACGTTCAAGGTGCTTTAAATAATAAAAACAGAAATATAAACACCATACAGTCATCAATTGAACAGATGTTATCTTTTGATGAGCCCCAAAATAATACACATCAGATATGTTGGTCAATGCTTCATTTATTGTGGTCCAAAAGCAACAACCCGTGGGTTTTTAGTCTCGATTTAAAGGAATAGAGTTATGCTACTCTGTTCAAGGCAAAGACAATTAAACCAGTAGAGACAATTATTATAATTATTACTGTTATTGTAGTTGTAATAATAATAATATGGTCAAAAGCTCAAGCAAAAGTCAGGAATAGCCAACATTAGGAAGTTCTAATGTGTTTTACAGAAAAAAAAAACTGTCTAGATCAAACCGTCATGCTAATATTACATATGGATAGTGTTGGTGCAAACTAACAGCAGGTTATATATAAAAATGACTAGCTTTAATTAATTACATTTATTTAACAAAAGTGATCATGAGACAAGAGATACAATTAAAAACGTTCTTTGAAACAGAAAAGCAGACACAAATCCAAACCCTGTAAGTGACAAGAAAGCATGTAAAACGCTTTTGTCAACAGCGTCTTTGATAAATGATCTACCTCCTTTGTGTGGTTGCAGAAACTCCTGATGTTGGGAGTTTCTTGTGTACATGGAAAACTAGGTCCCGCAGACACGTGACCTCACTCGGCCTTGTCCTGTTTACACCTGTTGATTATTAACTTGCCACCATTGTTTATTACTGTCGACGATTTGCCCTAGGTTTCTTCTTCGTTTGTCTCTGTATGCCTCACTAAAGTAATACAACAGTAACCATAGAATCACAGGTGAACTTTCAGGCATTAAGTGTTGATAATGGGAGAGTTAAAACCTCACCTGTTGGCAGGTGCAGCAGCAGAAACACCACCAGTATCATATTTCCCATCTCGGTGCTCTGTATCCTTCCGCGGAAACTTCACTTGTTGCTCTTGTTGGTGACCGAAAATCTTGTAAAAAACCCGGAATACTGGTTTAAAAAAAAAAAAAACGTCATGTACTCGCTGTTCCGCATAATCACCGGGTTTCCACCAAAGGCAACATGTTAGCCAGTCTGTTGTTTTTCTCCCTGAAAATGTTTCAGCAGTAGTCCAGACGAACTTCCCAGTGGAAAGGCGGACGCTGATCATCCCCTCCCCCACTTAGCTACAGGTGACATCACCGGCCCCGCCCACTGTGACAGGTGAAGGGAGACACGATGGGGAGTATTAAGTTGAACTAAATTTTGTGCTTTTTTTTTTATTTTCCCCACTTAAATAATTTATATCGTTAAAGAAATTCTAATATCACTTTGAAATTAAATATTTCATTTATTAAGGAACAAAAACCTCTCCAAACCGCCATGCCACCACCTGTGTGAAAAAGTTATTGCCCTCTAAATCTAACAACAGATTGTGTCACATTTATTATCTTCAGCTGTTTTTGATATTTGTTTGTTAATGAGTTTTTTTTTTTTAATTTTAACCAAACCATTTTTTAGAGAGAAAAAAAGTTGCATTTTCTTTCAGAAGTTATCGTATCTGCCTCTTTCGTTGTGGTTTTAATCAGTAATACTGAAGTAGCCCATCAACAACAGTCTGCAGCGCTGCTGTGAGTTTCCATTAAACAAGAATGCACTCCTCACGTGAATGCTGACATCCTCTTCGTGTAGAAGAGGGATTTGTTTTCCTCTCAACTCCTGATTGTGGCGCTTCCTCTCAGGATGCAAAGCGTCGCAGCTGTCAGGATTCTCACGTCTTGCAGGGGACATGGACCCTCTTCCAGCTTCCCAGCGCAGACCCGAATGTGCTGAAGTGTCTTCAAGTGTGTCTCGATACTCTAAGAAATGAGATGAAAAGCTCTGCTCTCTGCAGCTCCTTAATTCCTTCTTTGTCTTTGTCAAGAGAGAAGATGCAGCACCTTTCAGTCTGTGCTGGCTTCAATCCACTGTGTGAAAAAGTTCAGCATGATGGTTCATTAATCTGGGTATCAGAGTTAACATCTTATTTATTTTTCTTTCAAACATGTAGCATAATTATTTCTTAAAAATGAATCAATGGAGCAAGTCCTAGTATTGGAGAACAAAATACACGATATAGATGAAGTAGAATAGTAATCTTCATCTGATGCATGTTGATATACTAAGTTCAGATCAAATGGCATCAACTTGTTGTCTAAACTCTCCCAGACAGAAAGAGGAATAAATAATGAGCCTAAAATAATTAGAGAAATGACAAGGAAGGCAGGAAGACGAAACAATGACTGGACGTCATCTGTCTGGCAATCCAGTGAACAAATTTATAAACATTATATTTCTATTTGAGCAATTTGAACCATTTGAAAAGAATCTAAGAATTTAGCTACAGAATGGTTAATCGCAAATGTAAAACTTTTGCATCTGAAAAGTCAAACAAAACAAAAAGATTTCAGAAGATATTTTTTTTTATTACAAAGCATCCAGGCAGTGCAATGATCATCTGCAAAACAAATTCAAGGTGCAGTACTTCCAAAACTGTCACAAAAAGGAAAGACAGAAGAATAAAATGCAGAGTTAACCTGAGTTACAGAGTACTGACACATAAATAGGAGGAGTGGAGGCTGCACAGGTTTTTACCTGCACAAATTGGACAGATAAAATAAAACACCTTGGCACTCGTGTAAATTTAGCCACCAGACAAAACTGACACACAAAAAAAGGTCATACCTTACATAAAATATACATGATACAGTATCATTTATGCACAAGTATAATCCAGAAACCTTCAAGCTCTAACAGCAGAGGCTGGATGCCTCAGTCTGTCTCAGGTTTTCCTTCCTCTAATGTTGTTTTCTCACTGAGGTTATTTCAAGATGAGCCAGACTTCATGCAGCTGCTGGTGGAGGCGGTTTTAGCTTCTCCCTGCGTAGCTGCATGCAGGACGGATAAAACGAACGGACCGGCAGCTCTGTGCAGGTGGAGGTTCGAGTGCCTCGTCACACTACCAGAGAATCCCTGCTCAGTGCAGCGCTCTGTTAGGGAGATACACCGAGAGGCTGCAGGTTAGAGACGCTCATGCCGAGTGACGGTGCTCAACCAGTGTGACAGTTGGAAACCATGCAGAGGAAGGGTTTTAGTAAGATGTGTTTTAGATTTTAAACTTTGGAAAGGAAGGAAAGACACATTTTACATGGAGAGAATATATCAAGAATTAGTTGTGATTTAAAGGACATTCCTGTAAAAAGAAAAAATAATAATGCCTCAAAAGGACAATATGTTAAAAACTAATAACTCAGTGTTCCACTATGCCTTATATCTAAGAGTCACAAGAGACAAAAATATATTTACAAACATTAACGATGAATGTTTCTTATTGACAACAAATACGACAAAAACAGACAAGAAAAAACTTCAGTGGAGAACTGCTGACTTTTTGTGCTGCAGTTCATTTTGTTTCCACTGGAGGGCTGCAGAGCAATCTGTAAACACTTGATATTCTCGACATGTATAAAGAATAATGCATATTTTACACCTCTAGCAGACCTGTGGAAATTATTTAGGTGTATTTGTAAGCACCTCAATAATTTAATTGTGTATATCAAACTTACATACTCTCTTTTGAGAAGCTCATATTTTACGAAATGAAAACTGTGGGTCTTAATCAGTAATTTTGTGTACTCTCTTCCAATTGCTGCTGAAGCAGATAACTAGAGCTGTGAACTGAAAATGTAAAACAATGGAGCTGAAAGTGCACAACAAAACATAAAAAAAAAAAAGAACCAGAAGGGAATTTCAGGGAGGGCTGGAAACAAAGGTCCTAATTGGACTGAAACCGGAGGTCACCAGGACACATTATGAATAATAAAACAAACTCCTGGGAACAAAAATGTAGCAATCCCCCCATTCTGCTGCCTGAAGACAGATACGCCTGAAGTTACTGTGCAATTATGCATCATTTAATAGTTGTTTTACGACAGGGACTGATCATTTTTCTGGACTTTCTGCACTCAAGCTCGTCTGTTTACTTGTATTTGCTAATTTTTATAACGTTTTGAGGTTATTTAGCATCTTTTCATAGTTTGAAGAGATACACCAAGAAGAGATTGGAAGCGTATTTCAGATCTGTCTTACTTTAAACTTTAAAATGGCAACACAGACTTTTCAATTTGTCAACATTAAAATGCTTATTCGCGATCTAGCTAGCTTAGTGCCGTTAGCATTAGTAACTGTGAACTTCGGTGACTTTGACACTTAAATTCTCTAAAGGTTGCAAAAGTTCAGCATGTTTCATGATAAGCAGACAGAGGTTAGAACTCTAAAGAATAAAATAGAAAAAATATAGATGTAGTATCTTCAGGCCATTGTCAGATTTTGATATGGGATTGTCTACTTCCAGTCATCAGATAATATTTAAGGCATATCTTATCAATGTGCATCACTTTATAATTGTGTCATATCATCTGCAACTATTTTCTGAGTCATTCTGTGCCCAAAGATGAATATCTCCTGGAGTAAACTTGAATCTTTCGCGGTTCCTCATATTTGAATTTCATTTAGATGGTTTTGTGCCATAAATTGGACACTTTGGTGATGCATATAAATTTATTATTACTGGTTTATTAACATTTTTAATGGTTGATTTTATTACTATTTCTCTCAGTTTGTTACATGTAAGATGTTTGGTCTGTTTTTTGTTGATTTTTATCTCTTTTTATTGGCTTGCATTTATTCTGTAGTCATTTTTATGGTTCTGCTGCCCTTTTTTAATTACTTTGATTTGTCTCTTTGAATAACATTTTGTATCACATTCTGGTCATATTGCGTGTCTTTGTGCTAAGTAATTTTGTTCACTTTACACTTCTTTTCTTTAACAAAGGCTTTTCAGGTTTTAGTAGTGGGGTCCACTTGCGATAATGTTGACAACAAGAAAACCATCGGATACTGTTGGGCTTGACTTGTAGCAATTTACAGGACATAAACGCTCTTTTCCTGCAGAGCGGTGGAGGGGGGAAGTTCTCGTTCCTGCTACAAGTAACTCACCAGGTTTCGGCTCCTGTCCCGCTCCTCTCTGCCCCCCTGTAGTGTCTGGGACATTCCCTGGTGGGGTCGGGTGTAGGAGAAAGGCCTCGAGCCTGGCTCGGCGGTCCTGTATCTGTCTGATCGGGGCGGGTCTGCTGTGCGGTACCTGTCCGTGGTCAGGTCAGCCCTGCGGTATCGCTCGGCCTCCAGCTCAGAGTACGGAGGCAAAGGGTCGTCCTCATCTGGACGGTGGCTGGGCGACCGGCTGTAGAAGCTGTCGCTGCCTTTTCCCCTGGAGCTGCCTTTAGACGGAGTGTCGCTGTCCTCGTCCGCTCTCCCAGCGTTCCTGTCCCCTCCCCGGCCTCTCGCCTTCCTCTCCAGCACGCTGGTGAGGAAGCCGTCATCATAGCTTTTGCTCAGGGGCGGCCGACAAGGACGGTCGCTGTCCCATGTGTCCCTTCTCTTGTGCATTAAAGGCGAGGGGCTCCGGCTCCGGCTCCGGCGGCCCCAGGTGTCGTCCTCCTCTCGGTAGGAACGCCTCGGCGGGCTGTAGTCCCGCCCATGGAGCCGGTCTGGAGGCTCAGGACGACGAGCGCGGGAGCCGTAGCATCGTGCAAACTCCTCCAGCTCATCCAGGGAGCCGGTGCGACCTCTCCTGCTCAACGTCTTCCTCTGCAGATGCTCGGAGCGGGGATTCCACCTGCAGCAACATTCATTACAGCTTATTTTGCTTGACATTTGTTACTCTGTTACCTATTTCGAAAATGTCCCATAGGTTGAAGTTTGTTGCAGCAAAATGTGGGTAAGTTTCAAGAGTAATGAGTATTTTTTTAAGGTTCTATAAAATAGCAATAACTACATTCACACAGCAGATAAAAGCGACCCAAATCTGCTTTGTTTTCTTGCCCAAAAGCAACCTACATCCAGCTTTCTCACCGCAGTCTGAAAGAGCCCAATTCCAATATTTCCACTTCCCCAAAAATCCAATCTGTGCCACTTCCATTTGTGGTACGAGTTTGGATACGTATCAGATTGTTTTTGAACCATCTGCAGTCTGAACGGACATGTTGCATCGTTCTAGCTTTTATGTCACTGACATGAGAGGTGCATCGTAACTCTGAACCAGAAAAAGCCAGAGACGGTGAATCAGGAAGTCAATAACGGCTAGAAATTATGATTATATAGTTATTTTGTCTAGTCGAAATATAATTGGAGATATCTTAAATCGCTAAAACGTCTAGTCATAAAACAATTTGAGATATCTGGAGTGTAAGGGCGGTAAAACCGAATTTATGTTAAAATGGCTTGCCAACAAGACGTGACGTGTGAATGCAGCCTATTCTAAACACCGTTACCTTCGCTCCAATTCATCGTCTGAGAGACTGCCGTCATTTCGTCTGGGCCGCCGACTCTGCGAGGGTGGAGCCGCTCTCACCTGCTCCTCGCGGTCCGGGATGGGCGGCAGCGCCTTCATCTGGACCGTCTGATAGTTGCGTCTGAAATCCGCGTTCCCTCCATCGTGAAGGGAGCTGAGCTCTGACATGCTGCTGGCTGTCGGAGTGGAGAGGAATGATTGTGGCGACGTTCAAAACGGAGAAATTTACGGGAATCCTCAGCATGTATTGCAACATTTCACAGAGCAGGAATGAGCGGAATGAGTTCTGCTCGGATGAAATGTGAAAACATTTGGCAGCACTCGAAAATAAATGTCTGTGGTTGTAACAAACTTCCATCTGACCCACATTAAGGATGAGGTCTGATGTGCGTTCTTTTTTATTATTGCAACAGAAAACTCTAACTGTTTAGAAACTCGGGGCAATTAGAGTCAAGACTATTTACACCCACTTTGTGGCTGTAAATTTAATTTTGAAAACTCCCCTGCAATTTGCAAAGTGCTTCATGTTTGGTTCTTCTTTATGTAACAAAATTTCTGAACCGTTTTTAATAAATGATGCTATTCGTGTAACATTAAACGTACATCTGAAAATATATTGTGCAGTACAACATTTTTTACTCATTTCAGAAACCGAAACTGATAAATTCAGTGCTCAGAAAAAGAAATGAAATTGATAAAGTAATATATTTTAAACAGAACTGCCAGACTTTGGAAAAATATGTTAATTGCCATGCACTTAATACCTGGTTGGGGTTCTGTTTGTATAAATTACTGCATCAGTGAGTGGCGGTGATCAGCCTTTTCCTCATAGCTCCTGCTTACTTTGACAGTGGCGCTCAGACCTTCCTCTCAGCAATACTCCATAGATCCTCTTGAACTTTATCACAATGTTAAAATTTTGTTAGTGGTGTGACTCATTTTTGGATGTTTACATCCAGAAAATCTTCCTCATTTAGTCCAAATTTAGCCTCCAAACTTGTCAAATATGAGTCATTACTTACTGTCTTCCTCCTTCACTGTAACTGTTTAAAACAACACTATTGAAAACCTCCCTTTTTGAGGGTTTCTGAGCAAGTCCGAGTTTCTTCACGCTAATCTTGAGATAAACATGAGTTTTTAACGTGATTTTACACAATTTAAGTTCCATAATAAATGAAAACAGAGGAGATGTTTTGCGCTTTTTGTTTCCGTTATGCACCTGATTTACAATGCAAATTGCATGAAGTACAAGGTGGTCTATCCTTACTGCAGACTGACTACCTAAGCAGATAGCCTGACAAATTAACCAGCTGATACCAACTTAGTGTACTGACTGTGTTACTTAAAAAAAAGGCATAAATAATATAATAAGTGTAATAATAAATATGTTTTAACAGAAGGCAGAATAATGGTTGATTTTGTCTCACATAATAGCAATTAAATCAGGCTAAACATCTTATACCTGTCTGTTGTTAGAAAAATCAACAATTTTAACATTTGTACCTGTTTCTCATTTGTGTTTAGGCTGTTCATGTCTTTAGATATTTTTCAGATTTTTTTTTCTTAAAATCTCAATAAAAAAAAAACCTTTCAATTAAACTAGATTTAATTTGAAATAAGAATAATAAGTCTGAATATTTGCAGCCTTTTTTTTTAATTTTAGACATTTCATAAGATTCTGGTGGAGAGAAAAAGACATTAAAATGCATACCCAAAGCACTCTGAATTAGTCAGATGTTTTGAGATGGTTAAGAGGATTAGATGGATTCTAGCACTATTTAACTCACACAAATCACACACATAAGAAAGACAGAATGACACACACTCACACACACACAGACACACACGGCCGTAGAGACACTGAGAAAAAGGCCTGCTTAGTGGAGGCTTACATTTGAGTGAAGCCAACCTGCTGGTTGGAAACTGAGCCAACTCCTTCTCTATGTAGTACAAAACTTTCATTGAGTCCTGGTCTTGGCTGCTGGTCAGACGGTAACCACTGCGCACTGTAGATGCAGACACACAAGAACCCATACACACACACACACACACACACACACAAGGAGGATGTTTACAGGCAAAGACGCACAAACACACACACATGCACAAATGATTCATGATTTGTTAATTCACAAGCATGCAGGACACAAAGAGACGTTTCTGTTTTGAAACGGACTCAAAGGTGACGGATAAAGTCAGAGTTAGACGGTCGGTGATTAATGGTTTTCCATGAATCATGTTTCCTTAGAAGCTCTGAGAAATCAAAGGAGGGAGTATTACATTTATGAGTTCATAAAGTGATAAACGGGTTGTTTTCGCTTCCTTCTCGGGCGGGAGGAAGTTAACCATTTAAGGAGCGATGACTCACCGCCAGCCAGGTTATTCTCAGTCGAGGTGATCGATGACATCTTTGGGTCCAGTTGGGATGAAGGAGCAAGAGGGACCACTGTCGGCACACTGGAGATGTAGTAGGGATACACGGGGACCTGGGCGGGAACCGGAGCTGCCTGTCGGGACTTTGCCATCTTCCCCGCCTCGTACACTGAACAAATCAACGACACGTCAACACCACCCAGGCAGATGGCAAGAAAAAGTGCAAATGCAGCGGATGACTGTCCGTGTTACTGACGGTGTCGTGGGCAGCAGCAGGTATCAGGGCAGCAGCAGCAGCTGACGTAGCAGCAGCAGGAGTGAGGGCAGCACTGGCACCAGCAGATCCCCAACAGCAGGAGGAACAGGACGCTGCCCAGGGCCACGGAGCCCACAAACGCCCACTCTGTTTTACACAAACACACACACAGGAAGAAAATACTATAAATGCACCTTAAATGCTCATCTGATTTATTAACAAACAGCCAAAAACAATCATTTTATAACTTGTTCAGATTGCACTACGACTGTAATCAGAACATTACTAAATACAAGGCGGACCCAAAACACAGGTGCTTAAAGACCCACTTAATAAATTAGAATATTACTGAAAGGCTAATTTATTTCAGTACCTCAAACACTTTGTGTTAATTATGATGATTTTCTGCTTACAGCTAATAAAAAAATGACATTTTGGGATTAAAATATTACCTCAGACCAGTGAAAAAACACATTGTCATGTCAGAAACGCGGGCTTAATTGAAAAATATGCTCAATATCTGCTTAAAGGTTGTTATTTTCAAAAAATACTTTTAGTCTGAGATGTTCTGGTCAGATAAAAAGTGTCACCAGTCACATGATGTTGGCAGCATAATGCATAGTTTTCTTCTTAAAAGGTAACTGGTCAGAGTTGAGGAGAAATTGTTTTTATGTTATAACTCTAATCACAAAAGCCAGAGCTACAACAGAAATGTTTAGATTGACACAAATTCATGTCATAGAATGATCCAGTCAAAGTTCAGTCCTAAAATCCTACTGAGGATCTGTAGCAAGACTTGAAGATTTATGTTCATAGCTGCTCTCCATCCAAACTGACTGAGTTTGAACTATTTTACAAAGCTGAAAGGGCAAAATTTGAATCTTTAAACGTGTAGTGGTTCTTTAAAGTATTGGTTTAGGAGAGCTGAATACAAATGCATGTCACAGTTTTCAGATTTTTATTTGTAAGATGTTAAAAACTATGGATTTTTACAGCTATGTCCTATTTTGTGTTGCTCTAGAACATAAAATCCCAATAAAATTATGTTTGTAGACGTTAACAAGCGTGAAGCTAAACGGTTTGGAAACAAACTGACTTCCATAAAGATTTACCGAATGTAAACATTTTTTATTTTTTAACTGTACACAAATGTTAGCTTGTAATTATTCTGAGTGTAAATTCAGCGGTCCTGTATTATCTTTTACCCTAACGAGCTAACTTCTTACCCCTAATAAACCAGTTTTTCTTCCAATTGTGGCTTTTATAGTGACTCTGAGTGACAGGAAACAGAGCCTGAAGACACGGGATCTCGAGGGAATTTAAAGTAACATTAATCCTTGATCACATCTCCAAATTACAGACGCTAACAACACACCTCCCCAGGGGAGGCATTAAGCAAAATCTGCACAGCCCACCAGAGTTCTCCGAAGAATTTAAACTATGACTAAAGATAAAGCACCAGGTCTGCCATTTAAACAGCAAGAAGTTGTTAGATGGAAGCCCACAATTTATTTCAGAGTCCAGGAAAGCGTTGGTTAAGGTCAGCGAGAGTTAAATCAGTTAGGAGGCGACAGAAAAGCTCGAAAATGCAGGGAAGCGGCAGCTGATTGGCCGTACCTGGCATGATCTCCATATCAAACTCAGGCAGAAGATCGTCCTGCTCACCTGTCCTGCCTGCAGAGAGAGGGAGAGCACAGGTGAAGGCCAGACAGAAGCAGCAGGAAGCGGCGCCAAAAAAGGCCAGGCAAATTAGCAAATCTGGGAGAGGATGATGATTGATGTTCATGCAATAATCAATTAATCAAAGAAACTAAGATTGTACAAAATCAGGCTTAGCGAACATACAGGAAAAGCATTAAAAGAGTAGGTGTGCTTCCTTGAAATGGGGTCGTGTTGGGTACTTATTCATAGTAAAGTCATTACTATCAGTAAGAAACAGACAGGAAGACCAGCAATGAACCCAAGCACCTTAACCAGTGGAACTGACGAGTAAATAAAAACATGCAAACTAAATTGCCTTTTTTCCAGATGATCTATAGATCTGCTATCACTGGCATTACAACTTTTGAAAGGTCTGAAATCAGTTTTAAATATCCCCAAAAAACAAAGTTTATGGTTTTGTCAAAAGCAACACTTTAACAATCGAGGACTGTTTATGTCTGATGATATAATGACTGGAAGAGTGTCCTCCTCTACGTAACTGGGAATGTGAGCTGATGAAAGGCTTAAATGTGCAGCTCTTTAACATAGGTAAGAATTTCAAAATGAAAACTGTTTTATATTTCAGAAAACAGCTAAATCCATGTATCTGTCTGTAACTGATTACTGTGACGTGCTGAACATGCATGCAGCCTCCGCCTCTCTAAAGAGCCGTCTTCAAACTCCATCTCAAATGAAAATCTTTCATGCATATGTTTTTTATGTATAAAGCCCTGCTGGGTGAACTCCCAGCATGCCTCAGTAACCCATTTTCTGTCAGCTCCATAAACACCACTTAGTCTCTCCAAATGGTTGCTTTCGAATGTCTGACTTTGACAGATTTTGGGTAAAACAGCATTTTCCTACCATGCGTTACGGAGTTGGATTAAACTTACATCCATTAAGCATTTTAAAGTTTATTTAAAAAAAATACAGTGAAGAAGGAACGTCGTTGTTTTTCCTCTGAGATCACTGTATTTAAAATGCTGTGTAATTTGTCGTGTTTATTGTGCAATATTTGATCTACATGGTTCTAATTTTTATGTTGTCTCGCTTCTTAAAGAGATTTCTGGTCTCAGTGGGACTTCCTGGTTAAATAGAGGCATAATAATAATAATAAAACATAGTTTTAGCTTCTAAATTTTGTTTCACACTGCTGTTTAAAGCCACCAGCTTCAGCAATATAACATGTATTTTCTGTTTGTTTCTGCCTAATATAATCCAAACATATTTTAGTCAGTTCTAGCAACCTTTGGCAACAATTAGCAAAAAAAGTGAGAAGTCAAATCAGAGGTCAACACTTTTCCATAGCAGATCATTAGAAATGGTTTAAAGAGTTGTGTTGTATTTAAAAAACACAACTTTCTTTTGCGCTTTTTATTAACGATAAAAATGTCAGGAATCGTTTCATCAGGTAGAAAACTGCTACATTCTGAGGTTGAGCCACTTGTTTTTGCCCCATGTGCTTATTATGAGATTTTAAACAACTGTGATTAGAGTAAAGGCCAGCAAATGATCTGTCTGTCTGCAAGCAGAAACCAAACTCTCCTGGAACTGCCGACAGCTTATTCCAAATGTGCTGAGTCAGCTGTTGGTAGGGAGTGTCGAAGCAAAAACAAAAAAGTATTGCTACCTTGGCCTTGCAACTGTGCTCACATACCATCTGAAACATGGAGGAACTGGAGAAAGACGAGGAGCGTTGCGGTTGTGAGGAGCAGGGAGTGATTGGAGGGCTGCAGAGTGAGTCATGGGCTAATTTCTGAGGGGATTTTGGAAGACAACAGGGGGCAAACAACAAAGTGTGAAAAGGAGAAATACAGAAAAAAAAGAAAAACATATCCAAGGATCAGTTAGTTCAGAAGAAAACTGTGAATAAGAGAGGATTTTTGAGATATAACATTTTTCTGTCTAGAGAGGCGAGGAATGGCAGCATTTGAACCACTTTTGTTGTAAAACAAGGTCAGCTCATGGTTCCTAAAGCTGTAATAAGTTAAATTGTTATTTCCTGGGTTGTTTTGAGTGGTTTTTGAGGTTTGATTATTCTGTTCCTTAGTCTATTTCTTTGATCAAATCAGTCTTTTTTCTGCTTTATTTTAGTTCAGTCCTCACTACTGTTTCTAGTTATGTTTTTCCTTGTTACTCTAGTTTAATTATGTCTCTTATAGCTAGTTATTTTGTTAGATTCCTTCCCTAGTCTCCAGTGTGTCTCTTCCTCTTTCTGCTGTCTCCCCTCACACCTGCATCCCATTAGCTCATCAGCCCAGGTCCATTGTTTCAGCATTCAACCTCCCAGTACTTAAGCGCTTCATTCTCAGTCACTCCTTGCTGGCTCCTTCTGTTACTTACCATTTGACTCAATGTTTTCGTCGTGTCTTTCATTGGTTTTTCATTGCCTTTTTAGCGATTAAATGTGTTTTAGATGTTTGTTCTTCGTGGAATAACTTGGCTTAACCTTTTTTTATAACAATAATATGCCAAAAAAAGTTGTCTAGAATGCTTACAACTCTCTGAAAGGTTTTAAGTATTATTAAAACGCTGGTTAACAAACTGGTTAAGCCAAACCAGTTTGCTGCCCCTCCATGCTTTGTGAGATTGTTCTAATCAGATTAGCACAGTCAAGAGGTTATGAATGACCAGGCCTCAGGTCAACGTTGGTTTTGGGAGCACAACCATCTCTGGAAAGAGCTCCAGTTTACAGTAAATGCTCATTGTCTGACCTTTATCAGTGAAGTACAGGCTGTTTGATTGAGATTTGCAAGCCCTGTACAATCATTAACCAGGAACCAGTACTCCCAGTGAACCAACAGAACACACACAATCCTTCGGGACTCTGCTGCACAGCCTCACTGACTTTAAGTTTTTTCCAGTCCAGTCAAGTGCACACAGATCCTCTGAAATGCACGACTGGCTGAACAATAGAGTGTGTCATGACGGATCAGGACCATCTAAAGGCTGTTTCCATGGCAGCTGCCATAAAGGCCCTTGGGAATGCAGCCCGAAGAAGGCACCTTTTTCCAAAAACCTTCACGGCTATAAACTTTATGTTGCTTCATCGGCAGCCATACCGAGAACCAGTAACTCCATGTGGTCCTGACCGTTTCCCACCAGATCGTCGGCGACGATGACTTTACAGAAATACACGCCGCTGTCGCCCCACTGCAGCTCCCCGATGCGAAGGTCGGCCTCTGCAGGGAGACACAAAGCTCATGTTTAGAGGATTTCTGTGAAGACGAGTGGTTGAATCCATTCTGAACAAAAGAGGGGATGATGAGAGGTGAGTTATGTAAAACTTTACACAAGGAGGTTGAGATCATGAGGCTGATCTTCCTCCTGTATTACGAAACTATGACACAAATTCTTATTATATGGAGAGAACGGCTATGATTCAAACAGACTCAGCAGCCGTACCATACAAACGTTTGTCATGAACTGGAAAAAGACAAAATCATACCAAGTATTTTTGGTCTTGTTTCTAGTGCAAATATCTTAGTTCACTTGAAATAAGACAAAACTAAGTGACTTTTCAGCAGGAAATAGAAGCTTGTTTTAAGTGAACAATTCCTCAACATTAATGAAAAAGAATTAGTTAACCTGATAAATTATTTCGCTCATAACATGGGAAAAATATCTTTTTCCTCTGACAGATTATTGCACTTATAGCCAGTACTTTTTCATAAGAGAATCAATATTAAGAAATGATTGACTTCAAATCCTATATCTTGAAGAAAGGTTACTTGTGAGTTAGTTTTGTCTTACTTCAAGTGCACAAAGACATTTGCAGTACAAACTAGACCAAATATTTCATGAGACTTTGTGTTTTTGCATCGTGGAGGGAAAAGCTGACATTACTGTTTATGATGGTGACGTCTCTGTCTTTGTAGTGCTCCGTCAGCGTCACGGACGACTCCTGCTTGGAGGCCACGATCCGCACCGTCCGGCTGCTGTCGGAGCACTCCACTTGGGCCGTGGCTCCCAGCTCCGAGGCCTTGTAGCCCAGAGTGTCGGGCAGGGAGAAGGAGGCTCGGGTGGAGTCTCGGCAGTAGGACTTGTACCACCACTGCACCACCGGGGGTTTGCTGGAGGACGTCTGAAACTGGCATGGGAGGACCACGGACTGGAAGAGCATGGCGTAGCGCTTCTTCTCCCGCACTGTGACGTGCATGCCATTACACACGCAGACTGACACAAGCACAGACAGAGACAGACTCTGATTAACATTTTTTTAATGACGTCGAGAGAACAATTCTACAAACTGAACTCTTATTCCTGGATATTTGGTATATTAACTAGGCCTGAAGTGATTAATTAGACTAATCGTGATGTAACCGTCAACTAATTCAGCAATCAATTTTAAAAGTCCTTGTGCTGGAAGAACAACAGTCAGATAATTAATTAATCCAAAATTGTGCAAAAATGATTTACATTTTGCATTTGAGATTTTTTTAAAAAACCTTTCTAAACATATTCTATCTAAAACCTCTTCCCCATGGTGTTTTTCTTGTAGGTTTTCTTCCAAAATTTGAAAAGCATCTATTTTGTTTTCACTTCATAGTTGTGTTCTAGTTTATATTGGGTTATTAATGCTGATGTGACATATTGACATTTGTTTACAGTTCTTTGCAAAAACATTAAGTAAGTTAAACAACCATTATCTGTTTCACATGCTGTCACTTTGCAAACACATAAAGTATTATTAATTATTATTATTAAGGGCTGAATATTAACAACTTACTGTGCTCTCTTTCCTCTGCAATAATTGATCTGACCAAACCAACTTTCAGATTTGAACGAGCTTGCTTTCAGCTTCACACCTGAACATTTTCAAGAGTGTGTTTTTCACTCTGACATCTGGAAATTTTCTGACCAGGTAGACATACAAACACTTTGCTTTGCAGCGGTTCCTGCTGCAGCCTGGACCAAATAATCTGGACTTTAATTCTGGGCATAAAATGCATTGCACAGTAGTTTTTAACAGATATTAGTTTATAGCAATTTTGTTGTTGTTGTACCTGCTAATTACCGTAATTATTTTTTGACGCTCCTTTAGTGACATTCAAAAGAGCATAGGTTTGAAGGAACCTCTTTACGGCTGGAAAATGCATGTAAATTACAGTTTTATTTCTGTAGAAACAGCTGTAGATCTTCTCTATCTGTGCAGAGGATTCAAGATAAGAAACTGTAATTTGCATTGCATCAAAACGGGAGAAGACAGGAACAGAGATTAGGTGTGTGGGGGGCTCCTCTGCTGCTCAGGCTTTGGGGTCAGGAGGTTAAATTCCAGTGTAACGTGTGGGGGGGAAATCTGTGGGAGGACTGAGGAGAGCCAGGGGGACGGTGATCACACAGGGAGGGGATGCAGCAGTCAGATGCTCGTGAGTAATGCCTGAAAGTCATTTTAGCTCTAGGTGGGGCAGGAACTGCTTTTAAACATTTCCCTCAAGACAGGAAATGAAAACAAAAGCAAGTCCACCAGTTTGCCTTTCCTTCAGAGCAGCAGGAGGAGGAGCACTCATCCTGTTTATTTACTCTCTTTTAATTAAAAATTGCCAGGCCCTGATTACAACAATTAGTTCTGTTTTTCTTCTCTGTAATCATCAGTTTCATTAATAATATAGTAGTTTTATTTCAATAGCTCTTATCAATCATTGCTCTAAATCACTAAGCGTTCAGAAAGATGTGAACCACTGACTTTTTTATTTTTTTTTTTTTATTTTACAGTAATGAATCAACTTGTTTAAAAAAATAACTTAAACCAGACCCCGGCATCTAATTTGCTGATTATTATTATTATTATTATTATTATTATTATTATTATTATTATTATTATTATTATTATTATTATTTATTTATTTATTTATTTATTTATTTTTTGCTTACGACACTAAGAGAGAGACCTTTAGGCTTAGTGAACCTTTGCTGGGAGACTTGAATATGTTTTTCATAAGTAATGATATTTATTGATGTTTTATAAGTAAAATTATACTTCAAAAAGTCAGAACTTTCCTGTCATTTAAAAATAATTTAAAAAATATACGTCAAGGGATTTAATTCTTTCTTTTTCTATTCTTTGAGGAATTAATTACATACAAATGCACAGCTAGGTTTTTTTATGTTCTATTATTTCTTATATTTTTAAGGAAAATAATACATTTATGTTTTCGTTTGGTCTTTCAAACAATGATAAAAAGCAAGCTAGATTTTTTATTTTATTAAAAAGCAATGAAAATCTAAATATTAGGATATTTTAATTTTGATTTTGTTGAAATATTTTAAAAATGAGATTTTCTATTTTAAAATTAAGTCTTTAAAAATTAATTTAACAATTATTCTTTAACATATTTTTTGTCTTACTGTTCTTATTTTAAAAAACTAAAAAAATCTCCAACATGACCTGATTATTTTTCTGCCTCATGAATACTTGTTTTGTGGAAATCCAGTTTTTTTCACGTGTCACATATTCCAAATCCTCCACCATAAACTTTAACCTCACAACTTTACGTTCTGCAAACAGAAACGTGGACTGAGACCCTGAATTCCTCCAGTGGAGGAGCTGCGGTCTTCCCTTTGTTTCCGTCTTTATGGAGCTGACCATTGTTCCCCACTCTGCTGTCCCAGTTGAGGAGCTGAGAGGGGGGGAAGGAGGTCACAGACTCTGAGCCAATAGGAGCGTCCGGCCTCATACAGCTGGCTCCGAATAGACCAATTAGCCACTGAAGATTTAAACCAAACCGTTCCTCCATCAGCTCCATGAATGCATTCAGTTTGTTATGAGAGGAGTTTTGAATAAGCAAAGAGGAAAACGCCTGTATGCATCATGAAGCACGTGTGTTAACCATTGTTTACTGTGATTGAGGCTGTGGTTTAATAGGCAGGTTCCTCGCCACCTGTGTTCTGACTTGAAGGTGTTATTTCAGCGTTAGAGGAGCTGTTAAAACAGTAAGAGGTATTCCAGGTCACAGCTCTGCTGCTGGACGCTTGCTTGTTTCCTGAACACAGTCAGGCTTTTCCTCCCAAAACCGTCACATTTCCTGCCTTTTTTCTCCCTGTGGTGCATTCCTTCACATCGACTCATTATTCCAACAAATGCAACTGATAAGACTGAAAATAGACTCAATGGTTGATGGGGGACTCCTCTGCAGATTTCAAAAAGCACCCAGAAGTCAAGAAATTAAGCTTTGTTGCTTCCAAGCTTAATTTCAAAGATTCTTTGAAGCTTATATCTACACAGGATGGAATATACCTGATAATATGTCCGCATATTAGTTTTTTGTTGGTTTTTTTTCATTCCATTTTCTGTACACCCCTATCCCTAGTGGGGTGAGCAGGGGTGCTGGTGCCTATCTCCAGCGAACGTTTCAGGGTTTTTTTGGGGAGTTTTTTATGAAAATGATTGCTGGGGATAATCCTGACTACTGCAAAGTCTATTTCACAACAAACTTGTGCATTTACTCCTACTTAGCTTGCCAATCTGTGGAAACTCCTCCTAAATTTTTAACAAATAGATGCAGATTCTCCACAAGGTATAGAGGTGCTGAACTTTTTTATATAGTGACACTTGGAGGAAAAAAAAAAAACTCTTCATAGAAAAACTGTTTGTATGCATAAATTTTGCATTTCATTGCTGTACTTTTGTTTTTTTTCCCCCTACTATCTTTGTTGTTATTGACACTAATGCAGATTATAATTGTCTTATTTAGTATTGTGTATACTTCTGCTAACTTTTTGGATTATTTTTATTTGCTTTGTAGTCTTCCTAACCAGTTATGCTTTGTATATTGTAAAATGCAGATACATTCAAATTGCAAAAACTATCCATTATAGTGCAGTTATAATAATTGTAATTGTATTAATTAATTACCACTACCACCTACAAAAAAACCTTACTATTCCAAATACATATAATTTTACTACATTTGAAAAGCTTAAATAGTCTTGTTGATATAGTGTTGCTGTATCACAAATTCTTCCAGCAGCAAAGACTGAACAACCTGAGGAATATTCACAATGATTAATGACAACCAGCAGCCAATTGCACAAGCAGGGCTTTCCCAGAAACCCAAAAATATGTGAAGACAGTTTAAAAATATTTGTCCAAACCACGGCTGCTAAAAGGGAGTCTGTCTTGTTTGGCTCGGTGAAGATAAAACATAACCTAAACCCTTCAGCAGGTTCCTCGCTGAGGCCAGCGGGTTTGGGATAAGCTGAAGTTTACGGGCACAACCTGTTGCGCTGAGAACAGAAAGGCTGTTAAACATGTTGTAATAAAAGGAAATAAACTCACCCGATGCTCCCAGTAAAACTGCCAACCGGTAAAAGTTCATCATATATTCCGTGTTTATGGTAAAACGGCGTTTATCCGTATGTTAATCATGTCGTTGTTCGCTCTGAGTGCGGCTGCTCCAGACCGGAGGCAGGCTGCGTCTAACGGGACTGTACCACTTCACTGACAAAGGGGGGGCTCTGATCCAAAACTCTATCCAATCTAACGGGTTGACAAAATACATTAACACTTATTAATGGTGTCATCCAAAGTAATTTATTAATTTCGATATAAAAATGCAGCTTGGTTGCACAGAACATGCACAAAAAACCACTACAAATGATTGATTAAGTCACTTAACATGGATTTTGTGGAACAAAACAGAAAATCCTACATTTATTTTTTATATGTGTGATAGACGCATAAAAAAACACAGTACTTACAAAATAAACTAAGATTACAAACATTATACAAACTTATTCTCGAATTTCATTAAAAGATGCAAAACAGGATTAAAATATATATATATATTTTAAATCGCCCAAATACATTTATCAAAGCAAAACCTTAATTAATCATTCAAAATTTCAGTATACAGTATATCTTACATTGTAGGTTGATAGTCATATAGTTTGGCTCTTTGCACTAACATGATTTAAAAAAAAAATCCCATTCAAGACATAATAACCATGGACAATAATATCTTTCTTTATGCCATAAGCTCAAAGGGTCAAAGGGTAATGGCCTGTATGTGTGTAGCTTTATCAAGTCAGATGACTCCAAAGTGCTTTACTCTACATTCAGTCATTCACACAGAGATGGTGATGAGCTACATTGTAGCCACAGCTGCCCTGAGGCAGACTGACACTCAGTGTCACCAGGCCCTCTGACCACCAGCAGCAGGCAAAGAAGGTAAAGCGTCTTGCCCAAGGACACACAACTGAGACTTACTGAGTACTCTTTAGTGAAGAGTATTCATTAAGTCAACGTTAAACATATTAATTTCTATGTTACTCATCTCTGTAATCAATGCGATCGCGGCTACCACGGTACAAGTCTTGATCACGGTATTCATCAAGTCGATCTCGACTTCCAGAGCGAACAGGTTGATCATCAAGACGATCTCTACTGCCACGGCGATCTCGCTGATCATCTAGACGATCCCGACTTCCGTAGCGATCTCTTTGGTCGTCAAGACGATCCCGACTTCCGTAGCGATCTCTTTGGTCGTCAAGACGATCCCGACTTCCGTAGCGATCTCTTTGGTCGTCAAGACGATCCCGACTTCCGTAGCGATCTCTTTGGTCGTCAAGACGATCTCTACTGCCATGGCGATCTCGTTGGTCGTCGAGACGATCCCGACTTCCATACTGATTGCGTTGATCGTCACGTTCTCGGCTTCCGTAGTGATCACGTTGATTGTCCAGGTGATCCCGGCTTCCACGATAATAATCCTTCCGATCTCCTTGGTAACGCTGGGAATCTATATCACTACCCTTTCCGTCGTGCCTCTCTAAACCACTTCTATAACTATGCTGGTCATCATCAAACGTCTTTCCTGCTCCACCTATAGTGTAATTGCTTTGAGGAGAAATATCTTTATCTTCACTCTCATTAGTCTTCTTCTTCTCAGTGTTTGACTTGTCATCCATGTATGGCTCTCCTACTTCAGGACCTTCTTTGTCATAATACACCTTATCTCCATGGGAACTAAAACACAGACAAGGAACAAAGACATTCTAAATGGTTACATGACTTTGACACAGAAAACTGTAAAAGCTACACATTTGTTGATTTGCTGATTTGATTAGCAAATGACTGCATACCCCTCATCATCAGCCTCGTTTTTATTCTTTCTTCTGCAGCAACAAAAAATGATAATCCCCAGAGCCAGAAGACCAGCAGCAACTGCTGCAATTATAATTCCAGTGGATGCAAAGCCCCTACTGGCTAAGAGAATAAAATAGAAAATACATTACTGTTTTGACAAAAAAGACAGATGGATACAACAAGAGAAACTGAATCAGGCAATTTAAGTAAGTGATAACAATCTTAAATGTGGTAATATAAATGCTATTGTAATAAAGTGTGGATATTAACGAATTTATGTCGGTCTACAATTTTATTGTTGTGAAAAAAATAGACATTCTGGCTGGGATTTTTGAAACAAAATCGTGCTTTGAGATTCTTTCTGAATAAACATAGTAATTTGATTTGTTCTCCTAAAAAGATCACATGAGATTTTATTTAGCTGTCAACAACTTCCTGTTTAACCTAATTAAATTATTCAAAATGAATCTCTAAAACAATTATTTTTAATGCCAGATAAATGTTTTGTGTACTTTTCTACCCACACAAAACATAAATGAAGGAATACAGTGACTTGGAAAAGCAAAGTACACCCAAAACATTTACACATTTTGTCATGTCACAGCTACAAATACCAATGTATATTATTGGGATTTTATGCTGCAGAAAAGTACAAAGTGTTAGTTACGCTAGATTTTATCTCTCGGAGTAAAAGGGAATTAAATCAAATGTACACTAGACTTTTATCTGTGAAATATCCTGAAACTGCTTTTCTGCCACTTCACTGGCTTTCTCTCATCACATGATGGAAACTGATCTGATATTCACACAAGTTGTTGGATTGAAATGGTTTAAAATACTTACGAGGCATTACAGCTAAGGTAAAGTTGCAGCTTGCAGAACCAACATTATTTTTTGAAAGACAGATAAAGAAGCCAGACGTCTCTTTTGTAACATTGAAGAGAGACAGAACTCCATCCTCTGCAACAACATCATGCATGTTAATCAGAATATGGGCAATATTCACACCAGCCTGGATCATAAACATGTTTCTTTAAAACATGCTTGGTTTTTAATGCATACCCTGTGTTGTCTTCGGGGGAAATTGTCTGGGAAGGTTTTCAATACTGTAACTCGTCCAGGAATACACAGGAGCTGGCGAACCCTCCTCAGACTTGCAGGTGAGTGTGATGTCAGCGAAATACTCTGCTCGTCCCTGAAGTGTGCAGACTGGTTTAGAGGGAGGCTCTGAAATGGAAAATGTATTGGATTTAAACATAAACTGCAATATAGAGTCTGTTTTTCCATCACCGATATAAATACAGTCAATCTGTAAAAGACACCCCTTATTCTATCTTCCAGCAATATATAAAAAACATGAACAATTTACAAAAGAGTTGAGTTTACATGTTCTTTGCAACATTTTATTATAGCACATTGCAGTTTAACTCAGGGGGGAAACCACACAATGTATTACATAATTGTGAAGCGCAACAATCAAAATAGGTTGTTTCCAACATTTGTTTACAACTAGAGATTTGAAAAGTGTTGCGTCACATCTGCCAGAAGAACTAAAGGCTTTTGCAGCTTACAAAATGTTTTTCTCCAGAACTGGAGAGTATTTATCTCCAGTCAATTTCCCATCAACTATCATCCATTTCCTTTTCCTGATGAAGAAAATCATCCCCGGTGCATAACACTGCAGATTTTGACAACATTAAATCACTTCCTTCCACTTTACAATTACATCCTGATCTGTGTTAGACTGCAACATGTAATCGTATTAGAGTACATTAAAGTGTATGGTTGAAATGTAAAAATATTTGAGAAAGACAACGGAATATGACTATTTTTGCAAAGTATGCTTTTACACACTATGGCAGGTGAAGACTGAATAGGGTAAAAATGGAAATCTTGAATAGATGTTGTTTACTCCGATGACATCTAGAGTAAATGACTTATCACAGCAGAACAAACGAAACACACACTCATAAACACTGAATACAGTGAAGAAAAATATGGAAGATAATAATCCCCTTGGAAATAAGCTAATCTTTCATTTACTGAAGTAGAAATATTTGTTTCCCGTATAGGTCTTAAAGATTAAAATTAAAAAGGGGTAATATTGTCAACTCAACCTCTTTAAATGTGTCTCTACCACTTCGATATCCCTTCTTCTCCACTGGAGTTTAGGAGTTTAGCTAAATATTTATACTCAATGTGTATTTATCTATAAATGTAGACAGACAGACAATCAAGAACATAAAGCTCACCCTTGCATTAAGTCTCACCTAGAACTAAAACAGAAGTAGAGGCGATCGGTGTTCCCTCGTCATCGTTGGGGATTCTGACGCTGCACTGATAATGGCGGCTGTCTTCCATGGTCAACTTTTTCAAGAGGAGCGTCGCTTCTCCCCTGTCCACATCAACCTCCAGGGTGGCTCTTCCTTCGTATGACGGAGCGATGTCAACAGGACTGTTAAGAAAGAAGGAGGCCACTGCTTTCTGGAGGAGGAAAAATACAGATTTGATAGTAAATTAGTTTCATATTTCCTCAGTTTGAAATACTTTATGTGCCCTTATCGAAGACAATTTACAAAGAATTAGAAAACAAAATGTGTTGAACTAATGCTTACTGGGGTATTTTCTTTTTCTGACCCATTTAAGCAGGACTGTAGTTTTGCACATAAAGCGGTTCTGACTCATTCACCCATTCATCATCCACCGGACAAAGGTCACTACCTCATCACATCCAATAAAAGCACGAATCAGATTTATGTCATTGCATAGACACCACGATTCACTGAAATTCTTAAGGCAAATAAATGTCATAAACCTGTTAATTTCCTTTAGCTTCAGAAGTGTGGACTTCTTTGTGTTGGTCAGAGAAAATCATAACAAAATATATTAAAAATTTGGTGCTTGCAACATGATAAAATGTGACCAAAATGAAGTTGTTTGTTTTATATAGAACTTTAAAACTTCTCCAAAGTTTTTCAACTTATAACATCAACCGATTGATCGACCGTTCCCACAGTTTCCAAAGTGAATTGGTTTAGATTAGACCCTTTTACTAGATCGTAAACCTGCGATTTACCACCAACGTACTAGAAACAACCCAGAAAACGTCTCTGCTTTAGATTTTGTACATCTTACCGATGGGACACCCACAACGTCCCATGCCAGGACAAAGTTGTTTTTGATAGGGTTAGCAGGGATGAAGAAACAGGTCAGTGTAACATCGTCTCCTTTAGCCACCCTGTATTCCTTTTCTTTGATAGACACTTGCACACTCCGGCAGCAGGGAAAAACTACAAAACAAAGGAATAAAGATGATAACGCATGAACAATATCCCTCTATGTCAGTAACTTTTTATTTCATTATATTTATGGGCAGTGAAATCTTGATATTCATTTGAAATATTATTTTAACCAACTGGTCTCTTTCTAGTAAAACATGATCATGCTTTAAGTAGCACAGCAATTAAATAGTTACTGATTAACAACAGTGATACTACCATAAAGGTGTGGCAGGGGCTGTTTAACAAAAAAACAGAAATGAACAGAAACATAAAACCTACCTGCCAGTAGAAGAATTAGTTTTTGCCATCCGGAATGCCTTCCTGTTGTCATTATTTCAAGTTGAAGACTAAAACATTCACCGACTGTAGAGACTTGAAGCAGATGCTCTTCGACGAGGAACAGCAGCCTGCCTAACCTTCACGGTGAACTCCTGTGTCGCCAAGGTGTGGAAAGTTGACTCTGCCAGGTAATGAGTTAGCAATATGTGTCACATGTCAGTCGACGTCCAATCGCTAACCTGCTTTTGTTTGAATTTTGACTTGTAAAGATAAGAAAAGGGGATCTACCAATCAAACAGAAACCACAGACAGATTTTGTCTTATAGACCAAGAAAAAGTTGTTCATCAAAGTGAAATAAAAGGAAAAAGAACATTTTGTTACAAAGCAAAGGTCTAAAAAGTGTTGCATGCTTCTGTAATGTGTCCCACTTAGTTAATACTTTGCTCCAGCTAATGTCACTAATCTTTTGGCATTTTGTCTCACATGAAAATAAGTAGACCTCAGTCATATTTAATTAGTTTTACTAAATCTGACACATTATTCTTTAAGAAAGTCCTGTATTACCTGCAGCCATCTTCCCAGCTTTGTACAGCATAATGCTGCCACTGCTGTGTTGTGCAGATTGCCAGATATAGAGGGATACACAGACTTTCCCGCCTTATAAATGTACATATAGGTTTAGAATTTAAGTCAGCAGCTGATGTTGTATACCATTTGACCTGCAGGTAGCACCATTGCACTGAAAATAGCACAACGTCACATTTAAATTAATGAATATTATTGCTGAATTATAAGGAGTGTAAAAAGCTCATAAATGTAAAAGACAAATGGGAAGCTCTTTCCTTGATTTGCTGAACCACTTCTTCAAAACTTGTTGCAATAAATTGAAACCAGAGACTCGCAGTTATTTCCAAGAAATTAGAACATGAGATCTAATATTGTTTCTTACTGTCTCATATAAAATCAAGATAAACTTTCCTTGTGTAGGGAAAATTATGTTATAGGTGACTGTATATCTGTTTTGTAGATACGAGAATAATAAGTAGATTTTTGCCTCTTAAACTTTGAAGGTGTCAGGATTTTGGGTTGTTTGAATTAGTTTTGGGTTTTGTTAATTTCTGTATTCCTTGGTTCCTTTTCGTTCATTAGATCACCCGTATTTCTGTTTTACTTTGGTTCGGTCCTTTGTTAGTGATTTTAGGTGAATTTGTTGTGTTTCTTTCTTGTATAATGTTTAGTCATTCTTTAGCGTTAGATTAATTTCCTGGTCCCCAGTGAGCATTCCCTGGCATCCATTTGTCACTTCCTTTGTCTTTCTGGCTCCTCTCACACCTGTAACATCAGTTCAGGTCATTTTTTTCCCCCAGTATTCATCATCTCAGTATTTAAACCCTTCTCCTGCTTGCACTCTTTCCTGGTTCTTCCTTTTAAATCCCAACCATTCCTGTTTACCCGCCGTTATGCTCCTTGTGTTCTTGGTTCCAGTTTTGTTCTTGTTTTTGTAATCTCCTGGCTGCTTGTAAGTTTGTTCATTAAACCTTCACCATCCATTTGACGCCTGTGCCTGTGGGTCCACTACAGCGTCCACACACAACATGACAAAAAGTTTGGATCAAGTTCCTTAATATTTGACAGAACTGGCTTTTTTATTCCTTATGACTTATTTTTCAACAAGTTCCTCACAATAGTTTAGAGGTTTTGACCCATTACTGATTACTGAAATGATGTAATTTATTCAGGATTGAAGGCCACTTACCATGCCCACGTTTATTTTGACACACATGTAGAAATCACTCAGAAACTACAGAGTAAAAATAGTAGGTGGTTTATTTACACTTTGGAAATAATTACAGTAGATGTTCCAGGTTTTTATATAAAGTCATGCATAGTTCTTAGCATTATAAGTACTTGTATTTCTTTCATGGTTGGTGTGTTCATCAGATTACAACTTTTCAATCTAATTATGTTTGCTGGTTAAACTTCAAGGGGTTTTATTACTGTTCCTGTTATTTGTTGCCAAGTTCCAACTTGTTTTAGAATGAATTAAAGCAAAACATAAAAACTTAAACATCAGTTCAATGTCGTGAGTGAAGAAAGAGGTGTAATTTAATGGATTTTAGTCCATTTTACTTCTATGGGTAATTCACAGGAAGTGGTGGAACGTCAATAAAGTTATTTTGGCTTTACATCCCTATATATTGGAGAAGTGAAATTGTCTTTCTGTGGTCAAACAGAGGTCAAAAACTCTCTAAGATGTTGTGTTTGGATATTAATCATTTGTCTTTTCCCTTGCTCATAAAGGGTCAATATAAACAAAAATCAAAAACAGAAAATTTTGTTGCTTACATTCATGCATTAAAATCTGTAATCTGTACCATTATTCAGATCAGAGAACATTTTTCATCCAATGATCAAAATAAATCAGCAGTAGAGATCTGAAAAGCCGAATTGTGGTTGAGCAATTCAAATATTGCTAAAACCAAACTAAACAAGAATAGTGCTCCAAAACGTCTCAAAAACCATTAAAGTAACTTTGGCTTTTCAATGCAGTTTAATAATATAGAGCCAATTTACAAAAAAAAAAAAAAAAAAAAAACTCATCTGGAGGCACTTTGTGAAAAAGAAAAAAAATGATCCAAATCATATATATTTATAGAGACAGATGGATTAGTTAAACGTAGATTTGATTTTCTGCAAATTAAATCAAATAAGTCCAGTCCATACTAATACAATGCAGTCAGATAGTTAGAGATCTGAATTTCTTACAGTCCAAATCGAATTATAGAGCAGTCCAATCAAATTCAACCAATTGCATAATGGCAGCTGGTTGAAAATGCATCTAATCCTGGACGACTGCACATTCACTCTGCAGCAATCCCCCTATGAGATCAAGTATAAGGCAACAGTGGAAAGGAAGCACTTCTCGCCACTTAGCATCAGCAGCCATGTGGCAGATCTTTGATGCTGTCACCTGGTGGATGAACAAACAGCAGAGATTACACTTTCTGCGGAAACTGAAACAAACATCACAACCTACCAACGTCCTCACAATATGCAACAGAGTCTGGATTCACTTTCATTTCAGCCTGATGCTCCAGTATCCACAATATGACAAAAAACAAAGTCCTGCAGGGGACAGAGAGAAACTTGGAGGTTTGCTTGGAGTGTCCCTTCCTTCCCTTTGATGCAAATTATTATTAGACTTTTTGTACATGCTTCATCTGGTTTGTGTGTTTTAATCTAATTTTAACAATGATAAACTGATTGCATTTAATATGTTACAACAAAGAAAATAAAAATAAAAATATTACCAATTAATCTTACATTTTATTTCTGGATATTAAACTTTGTGTTTAATGACCCCTGCTGGAATATCAATGGTAGCTGATTCAGATAAGCAATGATTATTTTTGCTTTCTCTGCTACAAACTCTGAATACAAGTTATGGACAAATAAATGATCTGTGACAAAGAAACAAGTCTGTCTCAATGTGCATATCATCAAAAAGTTAATTTGTTTTACTCCAAAAAGGGGAACTCGTGTTATATTGACTCATTACAGAGTCCTTATCTCTGTTAATTGTGTTTTTAGTGGCTGCTAGATAATTAAAATCAAATATAGTTTTTCAGAAAATGTGAATTTCACAAAAGTATTTTAAAATGGGATTATTATTAATGCAGACATGTTAGTCTAATGAAAAGCGTGCCCATGTACTGCATCATAAATGCACTTTTTGACAAGCACCATGATTGTGAAGCCTTTGAGAGTTCAGTCCTAAATATCATGCGATCTTTCTGAGAATTTGAATTTGAGGTTTTAATTTTCTGTCATAATCAAAATTAACGTTTAAAATATCTTATCGTGCGCAATGAATTTATATGAGTTTCACATTTCGAATTTGATTACTACAATAAATCCACCTTTCCATAATATTCTGATTTATTGAGATGCACCTGTGTTTGTGTGATTAAAAACTGTCAGCTCAGGAAGTCAGTCTGTTTTGAATAATCACTCCAGAGACGATTTTAAACTTTCAGGTCTACTCAGTGTTCCCCTCCGAGGCTTTCTACATCCAAATTCGCAGCAAGAGAGAAACTGTATTATTTATGTATGTAAATATGCCACAGCTCACAATAAATCGAAGAGTCTACTCTGCCTTGCTTCTTCTGTTTCTTTATGTGAACATGAGGTCTAGACTTTCTATTTCTTACTGAACGTATATTTCTATGCGGAACACAACCACCGTCCTTAACGTGCTACTTACCATAAAGTACAACAAGGTATTTGTTTAGTAGTGTTTCACTGTGTGTGTGTGTGTGTGTGTGTGTGTGTGTGTGTGTGTGTGTGTTGTTGCTGGTGTGTGTAGGTGTGTGTCTGTGTGTGTGTGAGGCAGGCAGGCAGGCTCAGGGTTGGGATTTCGGGTTAAATATTCAAAATGGCGGACGGAGGAGCAGCGAGTCAAGATGAGAGTTCAGCACCAGGTAATGATTACAGCATTTTACATATTCATACTCATATTCAAACTGCGTTACTCGCAATTTATGGTTGCAGAATGCAGATGAAACACAGAACGACCGGCCGACGTGGACCATATTAGGCTTTGTTTTAGTTTACACACAGCTAGCTTAAACTGTAATTTGACAGAGGAGGAAACGAGCTGTTGCAGTGCGACGGCAGAAATACATGGAAACATGCCTCCCCCCTTTGTGTGATTAGACGGCCCGTACGCCGCTACATATTCATACCTCGGTCGACAAATACAACTTAGCATATTTTATTAGTAATCGCCGTCGTGGCTCGGGTTCATGTGTAGCGAATATATCTGTTTTCTAGTGGCAGTTGGCTTGTAGTCTGTTAGCGTTAGCTCACCGGCTAACGCTTGGCTTTGTGTTGATGCCCACAGTGAGGCTTTTGAGGGAGCTTTGCATATTCATTTTTTTTTTCTCCACCGGTCGGGCAGTGGCTTTGCGCTCGTTTCTTTTACAACCAGGGCGTCTCGGAGATATTAATCTAAACACAGCACACATGGCTTTCATTAGGAGCACAGTGCCATCTCGGTGTGCCTCTGTTCGACGTGATTTTTCCCCCTCTTCTCCTCTCTACAGCATTTTGCCTCTGTCTTTTGTGCTCGGCGCAGCGGAGCCACAGCAGCAGC